GTAGTTTCACATAAAGGCCTGCCTTGCCTTGTATAGACAGAAAACAGGACCTCTACACCACGGGCTACTTAAGAGCAGAGTCTTATTTCCACAACATAGGGTATGCCACCTGACACATATAGGCAGTTAGTAAAATACTTGTTGAATGACTGAATTAAATCATAAGTGTAAAGTTTTCTCCCACAGCCCTTTCTGCACCTGAGGTCCATATGACTGGGTGAAATGTACAACTTAAAACTTTCTACATTTACTCATTCAAACTGTGGTGCCTATGGAAATGGGAATGGTTGAAAGCTGGAGAGAGTGATCTGAATTCTTCAAAAAGAAAAATACAACTCCCCTTCCTCTCCCTGCATTGTCTATCTGCTTTGGAGAGCAAAACTACTTGCATAAGCTGAATGAGACACATCAGGCTCTGATAGCAGGTTCCAAGAATCTGCCCTGTGCCAGGCATTATGTGCACACAGTAAGTATGAATGGCATAGAAACTGAGGCACAGCTGGCTTATTCAAGGCCACACGTTTTAAAAGGCAGGACAGGAATTCCAGCCAGATCTCCTTGATTTCAGAATTCATGCTCTTACTGCACCACAGTACTTTTCAAGATACATTAAATTATACAATTTATATAATGACAATCATGTATTACAAATGTAATCATGATTACAAAACTCATTACAATGTACTTCTTTACTTGCATTAACAGGATTGCTTTCTTTCCTAATTCTTTCAATCAGTCAATGTTATTTGAACAGTTAAAATACACTTTAAAGATGTGTGAGGATAATATTTTATTGACAAATTCAGTGATATGTTTGAATTAAATAGCAATTTGTCAAAAATTCTAATTGCCCACCAGATTTACAAGTGACCTACAAAACTTGTAAATGCTTCTAATGCATAAACAAATTAGCATGGCTGCTTTATGAAGTGGTAAATTACACTGCGCCATCAGGCACATAGAGGGGTGCCACATTGAAGAACTGATTCAAAAGCATTCCTGAATGTTTAGGTCTGATCTGCATTTAAATTTCCTCTGTTAATAGCTACAACAAAACTATGCAGAGTCTTGGGCAAATAAACATGATAACCACCAAAGATTGACACTTTAGTGGAGGAGAAAGTAGTGATAGAGAATGCAGAATGTCTACCATTACAGAACTAAAAGAAATTGTAGTTGGCAGTCTGGAATAGTTAAGAAGTTCTTGTAGAGATATTTGTAAAGTTCTTTCTGCTAGTACTAAACTCAGTACTTTCTAGAAAGTGCTACACTGACATTATTCCATGTGGGAATTGTTTCTAAAGTAAATGGAAATGTCTTGTGTGTTGCATTTCATAATGAATTTCGAACTAAATAAATAGAATAGATTTTAATGTATACACTAAAGAAAACTCTGCTTTCTGCTTCAAACTGTTCTTCTCAAAGACTTCACAGCACTCCACCCCAACTCCCTGGTCTCCAGAAGCTGAAAGAAGGATGGACTTTCCTGTCACAGTCACAGGGCGTTGGTAGGAACTCAGGAAGGGGGTTGGGGGAGGGAGAAGAAAATGTGAACAAAGAGCCATGAATGACTATCCTCCCCTCTATTCACTTTCTCACTTAGGGGTTATAGTTGTGTAGCCCACTATCAGCATCACAGAAATAATAATAGAGGAATAGTTGCTGACGGCAGCAGTGAACTTTGACTCTCAACTCCCTCCCACATACCCCTCAGGCATCCTAACATGATGATAAGGACTGTAATGGTATTGCCTGCATAAAATTGTTTCAAAGCCTCTGATAGTATCAAGGATCTTCTGTGGTCCTTTGAGCCTTGACAGGGTGAAAAACAGCTTGTAAAAGATGCTTTTATTCAGATGTAGACTCTGGTGAATTCCTGGTCTATGTGAACTTCTGTGATGTTTCAAAATGTCTTTAACAACATCTGTCTTTTCAGTCTCCGGTGATACTTTGACACCTAATGTAACTGAACTATCACAACTGATGTCTTTTCTGAATCTACACACATAAATATTTTAACAAATGTGGATGTGTAAACATCTTGAAACTGGTAAACATGACTGCTCATGGAGACTGGCTCAAAAATAAATTTGCCTTGTATTATGTGAAAAATATGACATGGGTTTACCTCATGACTATGATTTTTTGCTTTTATAATTCTTGAGTTCACCTTCAGTAGAATGTGCAATACTAAAAAGCAATACTTTTGGAGTATTTGTCTTCTGTTAAATTTTAACAAAATTGTTATAGCTAATATTTTTATTAGGGTTATTAAAATTTCTTTAAGTATTAGTAGAACCAAACTTTTAACATATCTATTTCCTCCTTTAAATGAGTGATTTATGAAAATTTATTTTATAAATTTATTTCATAAACGCTGTAATGAGTGCTTTAAGCAATTAACTACACAAAATATTTTTAGTATATCTTGATTTAAGTAAAAAATAAATTATCTAACAGTTTCTATTTTTTATTTAAGTTACATATCACTGAATTCAAGGCATTTAGTAATGTGTCAGACTGTGGGAGTTAAGTCACATGGGTAGTTCATAATATATGACCTATTTGTGTACTTTATTCTGCAAACAAATTTATTTGTTGCACTAGGTTTAAATCAGCAAGGCCATTTGAAATTCAAAAACTGAAAAAAAAAAAAAACAGTCCATCAAATTAGCTCACTAAACAAATCACTGAGAACAAAAAAATGAAAAAGAAATTCCTCTAATATAAAATCTGTTTTTCTGTCTCTGCATATTTTAAATTAATCAATATATTTCTTATCAGTTTCCCATTATTATAAACTCTGTAAAGTTGACTGGTACCATAATGGTAGATGAACTAAAATAATTGACAAGAATCAAATATTTCTTACTTTAATTGGTACATAGGGATATTTACACATATATATGCATAAGAACAAGCATGCTTATTTACATATGTACATGAAATAAGGTCACACAAATATCTATCACTTTAAAAAAGTTGATGGCATCACTGAACAACTAAATATAAGAGATTTATTTCTAATAATCTTCCTTGCAAAATATTTTATGCTGTTTAACAGGCAACATTCCAGAAATATGTATACCACCTAACTCATTTCTTAACTGCAAATGTGGTCACATGAATTCATTACAGAGCTATAATAAAAATATGCATAATACCAATTTACCCTTGCATAAAGGATACATTGATAAATCTCTATCACTGAAGCAAATTTCAAGCTCTTGTCATTAGCAGCTAATATATGCACATCAAGGTGAAATAATAATACTGCAGCTGGTTATAAATTATAATTTAGATTTCCATGGTTGATCTCTTTGCTCTGTATCTTATATTATTTAAATAAGGTTATTTTGACATATATTTGTAACAGTATTAGATATAAAGACGCACTTGATTAATCAACCATAGTTTTTATAAAAGTACATCTATACATGAACAAAACCAGTAAATTTTTAAAAAATATGTTATATCACAATATAAAAGACAAACTCTTCTTCCTCGTTTTCCATGCAACATTAAGGAAGCATACATAACATTGTTACCTAGCTGGAATAAATTATTTTTAAATCCCCAGTATGTGTTTCTGTTATGAGTATATGTGAGTGTGTGTGTTAGCTGAATATATATATCCAGTTCCATCAGCCCTTCTAATAGTAGCACATGTAGGCATTTGTTTTCCATTTAACTGGAAAAACCAAAATGCTAGCAATAAGGCAGAAAGTAAAAAGAACAATTTTTTGTTTAAGTTATCTTGTCCTTTATAGTACTGCACAAACATGAGTAGAAACAGAAAAATTCTAACTTTAGAAACTGTAGCATGTAAATGTTTCCACCAGGCAAATTGTCACGACAAACTGGATAGCATCAGTGAAAGTAGCTCCATACTTTCTTGGCTACAAAACTGGAAAGAGAAAACCTTGATGCAAGAGACCTCTTCAGATAAAAACCACAATTTCTCAGCCAAAGGCGACTCCTCTCTCTTCCCCAAAGTGCCTAATCAGCTAATTTTTAAATGTTATGAGTCAACAACAAACGATAGGCTCTTCTCTACTCTTCACTCTCATTCTAGGTCAAATTATTCAAAATTCAACTTTTTTAATGCACAAATGATAAATGAACATCTAAAACTTTATTCAAAGTTTAATAAAGAAAAACAGTCTCCATCCAGATAGTTTATATAGACATTCAGAAAGGTAGTGCAAATGATTATATAATCTAGAAAGAACAGAATTTTTCCAAAAGAATAGTGGAGTCAAGTATACCTTCCAAATTTCTATTTATGTCTTTACAAATACATTGGAAATAACTCCATTGACAAAGCTAACCTAATTTTCAGTTACGCCAAATAATACTATCTCAACCAGTTAAAATTTGAAAAGCACTGAGGCGGTAAATGGCAGTGACCCAAAATTCTATTATCACAGCTCAAGTTTCACTACCTTGTGAGTATTTACTTTGTCAACCCTAAATACAAACAATACAGCCACAATGTACATTAGAGAAAATGAAGAGTTCCCACCAAGTTTTTGCAATAGCTGCTTTTTTTTTTTTCATGTAAAAGATACATGAACAAGATAACCATATTAAACTAAGAAATGGTAAAAAGGGAATGTATAAATAATTCTACATATAACATACTAATTACAGGTTTAAAGATAGTAATATTTACTTGTCAAAAGTGTTCTTCAGCAGAGATTTATCATCCTTTTTTGAGATGTTATAACAAATCAATCCCTTAATAATCACACAATTATCTTTATAATTCATGGGGAAAAACAATTTATTAAAATGGAGATATTCATTAACACATTTGGAAATTCTGGGTGATTCACTCTTCTATTCCAATATCTAATAATTAAAACAGGTTAGTTATACACTCTAGTTAGATATACACTCTAATAAGTACCACACCAAGGAAAAGCAATAAGTTTGGAAGTTTTAAATGTCCAAATATTTCTTCCACAGATCCTATTTGTGCTTTATTATTGTCTTACCTCAATGATTTTGTCATGAATCTCCAAGCCATCTGCTCTATCAGCAGGTCCATTTTCCAAAATCTTTGAAACATAAATTCCTTCCATTGGTGTTTCTTCTTGATTATCCTTTAAAAAATAAAACCTTTAGCAGTAAGAAAGATGTAAACAAAATTTTAAGTTGGATAAAAAACAATTTAGTAAATGTAACATTGACAAGCCTCTCTAAACATGCAATTCTCTTTCTTAGCTGGAGATTTGGTACTGAATTTTAACTTACTTAACACCAAATAGTCATTAATCAAGATGGCAGCTTTAATGAATGAACATCTTTGACAAGATTATCTAGTTACCTCATGTTTTTCAGTATACATAAAAGCTATGGGGAAAGGGCATGAACAATGATAACAATGGGCTTCTAAGTACTATTTATAAAACGTCTCATGTATAAAGAGGTATAGCAGTTAAAAAGGGCTATAAGTTAAAGAAAACAAAAAGCATATCCAGCCTAACTATATAACTGGTTTGAAATGTGGTCATAGTTCTGAAAATATAACTTAGCCTCACGATGTGACAGATTTGGAAATATAGCTCTGACTGTACCTATTCACAGGGGAGACTAGGAGCTTACTCAAGTATAAAATCCCAAAAGATCAACTCCAAATTGTAGGAGAACCCATTCAAAGCTAATCTTCACACAGTTCCAGGTACAGTGAGACTAATGATTAATTAAACCTCAAACACATAGCCAATATCATACATATAGGACATTTTAGCAAGTCACAGAAAACCAATTACCCTGCAAAACTTATTTAGGGAAAATGTCCAACATTCTATAATAATACACTGTATAATTTTAAATTTCATTTCGCTTTATAGCAAGTTAAACAAAATTATTTCTCCTTAATCAGCCTTCTTTAACATGAATTGTAAGAGGCTCTTAAAATTGTCTAGTGTCATCTAAATGTCAAACACCCTACTAGCATTTATAAAAATATTCCTTACGGGAAAAGAAAACAAAAATGATATGCTGAAAAGACTTTTATCTTTTCATAATAAATGGCAACTGTTCTAGAAACAGAATACAGCAGTCATTAGTTGCTAGGTTTTCGAAATGCTGAATACAAAGAGGAAATATGTCATTGCCATCCTGGCCTGAACACAGCATATGTCCAACAATGCTGACAGTTTCTGTGGCCAACGTCTGCAATGCAGGATGCAAAACTTTCATGGCAGCTGACTGGAAAGTGAAAGAACATGATTTTTTAAAAACTTCACCACCTTTCCTAGTTAGGATGCAAATTAAGTTGATGTACTATTTGAAGGATATGAAAGAATATTGCAACTACAGTATTTGGTATAAGTTTGTTAACTCATGCATTTTGAAAACAATTGGCATCAATGTAGAAAAAATTATTCAATTTAATAAAAAATTTGATTTGGGGAGCCAAAAATATATCAAATCAACTATCTTTTTTAGACATGGTATTACCTATGTAATTGTGAAAACAATTATCCCTCATTTCAACTTATTTTAACTCTTCATTCATTCATTCAAGATATTTTATAAACTGCCTGGTCTGTGTTAGCATCTGAAAACTGACCAATTTGACATAATAAATAAGAGGTACAAGCAAGCAATATACCTGTCTAAGATTATCAAGTAGAAATTGCCTATATGTGTTATTGTGAAATAGGTTTATTTAAGAAATTTGCCAACAGGGCTGTATGATGTAGGTAAAATGTGAAATGTACTCTTTTTTTTTTTAAGTAGCAAAGTTTGTTAGCTGTTGTTTTATTTTTCTCAAAAAAAATTCTCCGTTTGTTCTGGAATATTTATACTGGAACATTTGCATTTTGATGACAAGCACTATTTTAAAGATTAAACCTTCTTTTTTTTGTTTGTTTGTTTTAACTTAAAATCCACAAATGAAAACTAAGTCTTCTATTATTTTAAGCAAAGAGTGAGTTATGCATTAACAGGGTGGGTTACCTGATTTGGTCGACCTCCTATAATATTGAATCCCAAAGTGTCATTTTCTCTTTCTAACACAATAGTGAATGGCTTATGCTCTCCATCCTAGAAGAAAAGGGATAAAATAACTGACTAGTTAAAAAATATAAAAAAAAAAAATGCTACAATAAAGGTGTTTTTTAACTGTAAATAAATTGATTTGAAAAAGAGAAAACCTTAAAATCTTAAAATTAAGGATGGCTGAATTTGGGAGGTTAATTTCTTCCTGAATTTACTTGAAAGTATGTATTTGAAGGAACAACCATGCATGTGAGAAAAATAACTATTTTCAAAAATGACTAAATGGCTTTGCATGTTTATACATGCAGCTTTTATCCTAACTCAGCATCTGATTCTGACTCCACTGTAACTTAAACAGATTTCTGATTCGACCATGCAGGTATCCTTATTTTTTCCCTCCATTAGCCCATGGTAGGGCTCATCCCTCCAGATGAGTAAAATAAATTGTTAAAGAATCTAAGAATTATTTTATGTAATAATTTCACTTTGGAAAATCTTAAGGGATGCAAATAATAGTGAGCTATTTATAAATTTATTTCAACATTAATATTCACATTGCTACTGAAATACAGGATTTTGTAGGTTACAGTAATCGTAATTTTAAATGGTATTTTTATTTGGTTTTGCAGAATTTTAAAAAGAGAGGATTTATGCTAACTAAAGCAGTATGTATTGCTTTCCTGATGGCCAAATAACAGTTAAACAAACAGGAATTATATCTACAAACCTGCTTGTTAAAAAAGACCAATTTAAACATAAGATGAAATAGTGCAAGGCTATATGAATTTTATTCATGGTTATTCATATTATTAACTATTCTAGGAAATTACATATTTGGCAATTACTTCAGAATGATAAATTTCCATAAACATCATCACCACTGCTACCATCATCACCACCTTTTCCCAGGAACTTTTCCCAGGCAGTGTGCACAGCAGCCCCTGCTGGTAGTGGGAAAACATTACTGAGCAGCACGGAGAAGCCTTTTGGTAAGCAGTCTGCAGATCATGGTCAGTTTTGCCTCACTTCTCAGAACCACAGCTTGACTTCTCAACTTGTTGCATGGACTTCTCTGTCATATAATCTAGCCTTGCTCCTTTCCACCAACCATTGCTTCCCCAGGACCTTGAACCCTGAACTGGTATTACAGACCATACTTCTGTGCTTCTCTCTGGTCCTCCCATTTTTGTAAATTTATGTGGATGTAAATATGAGAGAGAAAGAATCATAGAGAGCATCCAAACTTTTAATAAGTGTGTGCCTCCGTTTATCAGAGTAGAAACAGTTCAGCCTCTCACACTTCAATAATCCTTTTTAGGTTCAAGGACAGAAGCTTCTAAATTCGGTGCCTGAGTTGGAGGCTATGCAAAGCAGTTCCAAATGGGCATCACCCTGGGTTGCTCCTCCCCAGGAGGCTGGGGAATGAAAACAGCTCCTTGAACGGAGTGTATGTTCTGCTAAATCCCTGCTCACCATGGCAGCGGCCAACAATGTCAAACACTGTGCAGAAGTCCTTCAGAAGAGAAGGAACATCTTTATAAACAAGCCTCTTGTCACGAGCCGCTGCAAAGAGGCTTGTTTATTCCGTCAGAAAGCCGGCGGTCCATGAACACAGTTCAGGGCCAGCAACCTCGACAAAGAAGGGAAACATCCCGGGAGGTCACACGGCTAGTCTGAGCGCAGATAGATGTGAGCTCTCAGACTAGGTTCCCCAAGTCTCACACTCACCCACTCACGTTCCACTAATAATGAAATCTGGAAGCACTTAAGAACTATTTAGGGAAGGTCGGGGTGATGAAAAGAACCCTGCAGGTCTAAGAAATCCCATCTCTTAATTTCTTAACTCCAAGTTATCCTGGTTTCCCGTATCCCTGAGTCCCTGTGCTGAGTACAAAGTGGCTGATATGGGTGGTTTGGTAGGGAAACTAAGTCATGCAGAGCCAAAGGTGTGGGAATGACACGTCCCGGGATGCTAGCCAGCGGGAGAGGGGAGGCAGGTTAGGAGAGGTCCTCGCTACCTGGCTTTCCTTCTCTAACTGGCTTCAGGCCGAGGCCGAAGGTACAAAAAATACGCAGAGAGGGTAGGCAGGAGAGTGAAAGATGGGAAGCAAGGGTCTGGGTGGGAAAAGGAGTTTTCCTAATTCCTCGTTCTCCGACGAAAAGTTGGAATTTAATCTGTTTAACTCTTTTCCAATCCCAATATAAGTGGAAAGGGGACAATCCTTGTAAACTGCAATACTAATACACTCGAAAGATAGTAATAGTATAGGATGATAGGATGATCAGGGCGATGGATGCTTCTTCCTACCACATAAAGAAGGATGTCACTTTGCGAAGGAATTCTGAAGTGCCAGAAAGAACCGTTCCCCTTTCCACCCCGATCGACCATTCCCCGGGTGCCGACCCCTCAGTACTTACCCGGCCGCGGCCGCCGCCCGGGTCCCTGGCGAAGTTGCGGACGTGAGCCATGTACTGAGTGAACTTCTTCTGGTACCTGCGGGCCGTGAGCAGCACCTCCCCCTGCAGCGCCCAGAGCTGCGCCAGCAGCGCCTTCTCGCGCCGCCTCCAGGACAGGACTTGAGGCCCTGGCGCCCGCCCGCTCCCGCCACGGACTCCCGGCGTCCCGCCGCGGCGGATCCCGGGCGCTGAGCCGCAGCCCCGCCGCGCGGACGCGTCCCCGCTGCCCCGGCCGCACGGCCCGGAGACGCAACCCCGGCGGCGGCGGCGGGCAGGGCCGAAGTCGCAGCGCTCGACGTGCGCCGCCAGCTCGCGCAGCCCGACCGAGTGGCCGCAGCCGCGGGCGCGGTGGTCGCACTGGGTGCGCAGCTTCTGGACGAGGCTGCGCAGAGGCAGCACCCGGTACAGATCGCCCGGCGCCAGGGGCTGGCAATGCAGCGGGCACCGGCGCCGCCGCGCCGCCCAGGGCAGCAGGCAGCGGGCGCAGAAGACGTGCCCGCACGGCGTGCACAGGGGCTCCTCCAGCACCTGGCCGCACAGCCTGCACTGGAAATCCGGGTCCACCGCTTCGGCGAAGCGCTCCAGGGCAAAGCCCATGGTAGGGATGGGGGAAAAGGGGGAGGGAACGAGGAGTCCACTTTCTCCGAACCCCTTGTCCCCCCACGAACTACCCCAGGGACAGTGCACCCGCTGCGATGGCTCGTCGGAGGGAAGGAGAAGGGTGAGGGATTGTGATCTCAGAGTTTGTTAGGCTTGAAGTTTTCTGGCTCCGACTAGGTCCCCTGACTCTGCCGTATTGATACGAATAGACGCCACCTCCAGTGGCCTCCCTCCCCCCCAACCCCCCACTCCCAACCTGCCCACTCCTTCGCTGCTCTGCAATTTATGTTCTTTCAAATTTTGTCTGCGGAGAGCTGAGGCCAGCTTACAGTGGTCCTTTGGAAAGCTGTGTGCCCGTTTGCCTGAACAGTGAGATTCAAGCAGTCCTTGGGCAGAGCTGGTAATGGGCACAGCGCGGGTGTTGAGAAACAACACAACTCCAACAGAATGAAAGCTCCCTCCGGAAGAACAGGATATTTGTTCGGTTTTCCTCTGAATCATCGTCCCGCACTCAGTCGTTCTTCAATAAACGTGTTTGAAATCGATGCACTTCTGTTCTTTCAAATCAACTACAAAATCATCAGCTAAGTGTCTGCAACCGAAGGAAATCATTGTGAGGTATCTACAGAGCCCGGCTTCTCAAATCACGATCCAGAAATCGGGTGAGTGTAAGCGAGGCGGGATGATGACTGACAGCAAAGACCGGGAAAAGGCCCAGGTGCTCGCCTTAGGACACCACCCTCTTAGGGAGAACTTGAACCGCCCTTCAAGATCTCCTAAGGCGGGAGGACGCTAGGATTCTGTTACCTGGCAGTCTGACTGCAGGTTCAATCGCCACACCATCCGTCTTCTACCTCCACAGGCATTTTACCTTTGGGAATGGGAATGTGATCATTTGGGCACCTGGAAATGAGAATTAAAGGAAATGATGTTGAAAGAAAGAAGTGAAATAATGGCAATAAAATAATGAACTGCTTGCCTCTATTTGTCTTGAATATACAATTTAGGTCAAACTGCCCCTCCCTCCAGTTTGACTCTTCAAAGTGTGTAGCAGCCAGGCCTTACAGAAAACATGCAGTAAGGGAACCCTCCAAGCCCTCCTGCCCCAGCTTCCTTCACCATCTTCTGAACCTTAGGAATGCAAAGCAACCCTATGGCCGGGCTACACACCACTTATTGCCATTATCCTGATGCTACTTCCACATAACTTAGGATGAGCTTCCTAAATTAGTCATTGATGATTCCTCATTGTTCCCAGAAAATCAAGTACTTTGGTGTAGTGCCAAAATGTATCAGTTGAAACACATGAAAGATGCTCCAGACTTTGTTCTTTAAATCCTTGGCACTAACTGAAGAATTAGCAAATGCTAATAGTAGAGGCTAATAAGATCTTCTGAGCCTTTTTTCTGTTTGAAAGAGGAGATTTCATTAGAGTAGTTCAATAGCAAGTGAGGATCCTGGGGTGGCTTGCCAAATATTTGATATGTTTTTAAACTTGTTTCAAAATAAAAAGCTATATTTCATATTTTATACATACAGATATATGATAAAGTAACATTTGTCACAGTGCTCTACATTTCACCCTCCCCTTTGGCCAACTAAATAAACAATAAATTCCTGAATAAATAAGAAATCATTTAACAAGAACAGCATGTACATATACTTGGGAATTGGGTAAATCAGGAAAAGCAGAACCTTATTGAATTTATTCAAATAGTTCAGGGCCAGAGGCATCTATTCCATCTTTTTAGGCTGTTGGAAAAAGCTACGACTTACAGCTATGGCTTTATAGATGGAGCTTGGCAATTATTGTTTCACAATAAAAGCAATGGCAGTGAGAACATTTTTTAAAAGAGAGCATGAAGAGATGGAATCTAAAAATATTCTAGTGAGATATTAGGAAAATTAGACTTGCAGTTACTTGAAAAGAAAAAAATAAAACAGTGGTTGTGTGATGCCCTTGGTCCAGCCATGCAATTCTTGTAGCAAAAGTTAGGAATGTGAGCAGATTATGGTATGAGTTATTCCAGGATATATAACATTTTGATTGTTAAAGAGAAGATGAATGTCAAAGACCTTGTCCAAAAAGAATAACAAGTTCAAAAATGAGAACATGTGAAGTGAAGCCAAGTAATGAAGTAGGCCAAAAGGAACTAGGGAAAAATCTTTTAATTCTGAGAAAATGCAAGCCTGAGCGTGTCCAAAAGAGTTAAGTACCAGGAGAAAAATATTACAACAGTTGAACCCTAAGGGAATGGACACACTTAAAGTGAACCCCATGGACTCTTCCCATCTGAAAATCTGTGACATCAGTTGAGCCAAAGAGTCTGATTTCACTTCCCAGACTATAAAATATTATTCTATGTATAAGGAAAATAGTAATATCTAGGAAAAGCTTGGGTGAGCTGGAAACTTGAAGCCTAATTAGATTGAGGTAATTAGCTGATGTAAGCACTTGGAATAAGTTTTAAATATGCAAAATATTTCAGCAAAACAGATCCAGTAATATTTGAATGTTTTTTGTCAAATGAGACAAATTAGCACCTTGCATCATTAGTTTGGGCATATCCCTATGTTTTCACTGATCATAATTTCCTTTTAAGAAGGCCTGGTTAGTGAAGTTTTCAGGCTGAATAGCAATATTGGAGGAAGAGCTGAAAGGTAAGCTGCTGTCTTCCTTCTTGTCCAGCTGTCCTGCTGGTTGTGGCCAAGACCATGCCTGTCCCCTTTCTTATAAGCTTTCCTTCAGACTGAACTTGAGAATATGCGTGGCCAACTGAGAGACAAGAGAAAGACAGTACATAGACTTAGTTCGTCTCCAAGCCACGGACTCTGGCTTGACTCAAAATATCTTTAAGTAGTCAGTAATTGGTTTGGAATTTTCAGCTTGGGAACTAGTTTTTGCTTCAATTCACTGTCAGGAATCATATATTCATGAAAACAAATTAAAAAATTAACTTGCTATATTCTTTGGGCTAATTTCTAGAGCAGTAATGAAACTAAAGTATGCCTGTGTGTGTTTTGAGTGAGAAGCAGGGTTCCAACCCAGTTCTGAGTCATCCCTACTGCCAAGGATGAATAGGGAATCAGAAAGTTACTTACTGCTAAAAGTCAAATGTTAAAAGACCAAATACTGAAATGCTATATTCCAAGACTCACAAATGATGGAGACGTGAAAAATAAAGAAGAGATTTTTTTTTCCACCCCATGCATAGATAGTACTTTAAACCAACTCATTTGTGATTTGTGTCATGTTGTCTCATGCATTTGATTGAGAATCATAAGATCAGGAAGCTTGGGGAAATTTTTTCAAAGAAAACTTTAAATAAGTCATTTCTTTATTTCATATATGTTCATATAGCATAATTTGGTACTTTTAATACAAGAGTAATTTTTAAATCTCCTGTTATAAGAACTTGAAATCTCATTTATATTTTCTTTTCTCTGATTCCCTGGCCATTTATCATGAATTAATGTTATGGGCTATAATCAAATACATTTTCCCAAAGTGCCCTAAATTTAAGCTACAACTATGTAATATTACTCTGATAGGTAAGACAGAAACAGCCAGCTGCTTCAGGTTAAAATAGTTCCTGTGGAATATATTTATCTGTATGATTGAAACTAACATTCACTTTTGTTCTTATCTTGACAGTTTTTGCATCATAATCTAGAATCAGAATTGCACCTAGTACATAAATAAATATGTTCAGAAAGCATAAAATAATAAGAAGGTCAACTTGAGACTATTTAAAAATTCCAAACTTGATAAAAAACAATGAAAGATGCTTTAAAGTTGAGTTTTTGAAAGCCTATTAAAAACAAGGCAGTATTTTTATAAGATAGGTTGATAACATACTATGCCAAATAAGAGACACTTTGGGATTTGTGTTTTACTCTTTGGCAAATAGAGAATTGCTTACACCCAGAGAACAGAGAGCAGTATCACCCCTTACAATCCCTGTCTTTAGGAGTTATTTGCTATTATCTTGCTTTTTGACTGCATTTGGCAAAATGAAGAGTTAGAAGGGGCATCATGACAGTGCAGAATGCTATTTTTTTAATGAATTTATTTATTTATTTACTTATTTATGTATTTATTTATGCATTTATTTTTGGCTGTGTTGGGTCTTCATTGCTGCACAGGGGCTTTCTCCAGTTGCAGCAAGCAGGGGCTACTCTTGGTTGCGGTGCATGGGCTTCTCATTGCGGTGGCTTCTCTTGTTGCAGAGCACGGGCTCTAGGCACACGGGCTTCAGTAGTTGTGGCACGCAGGCTCAGTAGTTGTGGCACATGGGCTTAGTTGCTCCACAGCATGTGGCATCTTCCCGGACCAGGGATTGAACCCATGTTCCCTGCATTGGCAGGCCAATTCTTAACCACTGCACCACCAGGGAAGTTGCAGAATGCTATTTTTAAGAGGAATAAAGTGATATGAACAAAACTGTTATGCACACCAAATGCAGTAAATGATTTACAGTAACTGTGCAGTCTCTGTGGAAATGAATTGTCAGACAAAGCGAAATGGAGAATTTGAAGAAAACTGAGTTAAAGTGAGATAGTAAATTAAAAATTTTAGCAACTTTCAATTCACTTATGGCCTAACTTTCTAAAATCACTGAGATATTAGTTAAGGTAACATTATTATCCTATTTAAGAGAGGTCTATTGTGAGAGATGGTTTGTACAGGAAAATATATAAATCCTGTATTTAATTAACCTTGATTTTTTTGCTATATCTCTGTGAGTCACAGTCACTGACAAAGAGGGAAGTTATCAAAAGCAATTATAAGAGGTAATGTGTAATAACTCTTTACTATATGACAGGCAATCTTTATACGCAAAATCTCTTTCAATTCTCCCAATGACCATTTTGGGTATATACTATTATTATTCCCACAAGTTGCCCAAGTTTACACAAATAAAAAGTGGCAGAACCTGGGATTAAACCAAGATCTGCCTCATTAAAGACCTTTCACTCAAACACTACACTGTAAT